AGCTGCTTCTGAACAAACATGGCGTTGTAGCGAAGGCGTGAAAGACTGTTCGCATTGTGATTGTCCCCTTGCCAGAGACTGAAAAAGTGTACAGAGCCCGCACTCAATCTTGGAGACCGGGTCCATGGACCCGGCCATCAGAAGCCTGGCCCATGCCCACGTCTCGAGGGACGTGATGCTGAAGACGCACCACGCTTCCTCCAGTTGGAAGGAGTCAGTAACCGGCAGCGAGCCGAGTCGGAGCCCAGGGTGTGTATTCGGCATCTCTGAAGACGCCATCCTTGCACCCGTCTAATATTGCTCGTTCGTCTCTATTATCGAAACATTAGCTACTCCGGCTTGAGACTTCGCCTCTGTTACTTCTGGATAATGGTGTACTTACATAGTAAGTCAATTGTCGGGAGGGATGGACTATCTCAAAGGAAATTCCTCTCGGATGCTAAGGCGTCGAGAGGGTCGTTACCGTGCTTCACATCAAAAGATGCTATTGTTTCCCATCCGTTGGTCGAGACATAGGGTCTTTTGTCTTTGTGCAGATCATGCCTCATCATGTTGACGAATGGCAGGAGGCCTCTTCGGAGTATTGATCGTTGGCTTTGTTCTCCATGCAGACTGGAGCGGAATAGCGCATCGTCGTCGACATGCCTTGTGATGGAAGACATCACCGCCTAGTGTAGACATGTGGTTCAACTGTCCTGTTGCGAGGGCAACTCGTTTCCGGCTGACAACCCCCAAGGAAAATGCGCTTCATATCCCATATCCAGGAGCCTCCTCGCCATATATTGGGTAAAGAAATGTGCTGCTCTTCTCTTCATACACTCTCAAGCAAAGAGCCAAAGAGGTAATCTGTCTTCCCAGTATTGTACGTCAGCGATTAGCTTTCCCTTTTTCATGGGAAGAGAAATGGCCATCATTTTCGTGGAGTGTAGGGCTAGGTGCTCCTGGATTGCGCTGGATGAGTGTCCAGCGCTGGTGTATTTGATCAGTTCTTTCTCTCCAACATGACCTCTCCAGCGGCAGGCTCTGAAGCTGCAGTCTTTGCGGCGTCGGAGTTGTGTGTCCATTCTCATGCCTCGGCTTCCATTGTACCTCTAATCCATCCAAATATGTCGCTCTAGTTGATGTAGGTCATAGGCGTCTGCAAGTCCTGGGAGCCATGCTTTGCTGAATGTGTTTTCGAATCTTCTCTGAGCATCTGTGTCTTTGACATCTCTCGACAGCGGAAGATTCTTCTTGGGGGTCATCGAGATCCCACTGTTCTTCTCGTCCAGTCGAAAGGCACCGCGTGTCGATGAAAGGGAATGCTTGCCCCATGGTTGCTTCGGAGTGGTAAACATGTTGTACTTATCAAGACAGAGAGTATAAAGCCTGGAACCTATAAGAGCAAAGAATCAGTGAATAGGAAAAATTGGAGAAAAAAACATCAGCAAACGTACCACTTCAACAATGCTTGTCCATCTCTCTGTATAGACAAAACCGCCGAGTCATCAGTCTGTTTGATTGCCCTCGATGCATGCATCGAGCCATACTCGTCCACATTGCGCGGTAACGGTCACGGTTTTTCCTGTAGACCACGCCGAGGGATTGACAACGTTCCTTTCCGGTCTCTCGGTATGTATGGTTTCGTCAGGAAAAGGCGACAGGTAGTTCACAGCGAACTCAAGAGGGCTGTAAAATTCTCCCTAGTCATGTGGACGCCTTGCGCGCTCTGTGAAGCGTCTGCTATGAGATGGCGTTTGGCAATTCAACAGAAGTAATTGGTTGGTGTTGCTCATATTGCTTGACTTTCGTTTCTGTTGCTGTCTTGTCCATATTAGTCCTTTGTTGAGAGATGCCTTCGTCTGAGGTCTGTAGATTGCCACCCTTTAAAGAGGAGCTGTCACGTTGGTAATCACTGCGCAAAACTCCCTCGCAATATGGAGTCTCGAAGCCTCCTGTCTCAGTAATTATAGGCCAATAGCTCGGGTGATGATGTTGAAGAGAGAAGAGTCTCCATAGAGCAGCTGTCAGGGAGACGAAGGGGGACTGACGGACGTGTTCCCGCTACAAGAGGGAAATCGTGTGAGTGTCTGCCGCATCAGCTCTTTTGCCTAGACCAGCTCTTGCCTAATGACGTTGATAGCGTTTGAGAGGCGCTTCAATGCTGCGTCTGATGCTTCGCCGTCGTTGATGTTTACCGTCAATTGATGGGTGGTCGTGACGCAGGGATACCAATGATCTTTTCCAAAGTCCAAACGTAAGATGAGCTTTTCGCCTTGTGTCGAGACCATCTTGGGGAGTTGTTTCGAGTGTGCAATAGTCATAGGACCCTTGTTTATGTCTGGTCTTGTGCTCTTGGAATAGAGGGAAGAGTCGACTTCGCAATTGTCTGTCCGATCTCTGCCCTTCCGTTTCTCCAACAGGGCCCTTGGGAAAATTGGACCTGCCCAAGGCTCGCGTTCTCGTCATGCCGAATGATTCGCATTTCAATATCGGGGAAAGAGGCGATGTTGTAGATGGACGCAAGTGCCTCATTCTGTCGGTGCACGGGTCACGATATCGGTACTGCTGTCCTCTTTGGCGGAGGTATTCGCATTTGCTGTTCCTTGAGAAGTTCGGGATCCATCATTACTGTCGTCCTTGAAGCCTGAATGGAGAGCCGTAGATACAGATCCCTGGAGGCTGGATCGAAAGTTCTGGGGACCCACGAAGAACATGTACGTGAGATGCCTTTGTTCAAAACAATTTCCCAGTCTCTCATCGATCTCCTGGAAATGGCCATCAAGTGTCGGTGCTCGCTTGCCGTACGTCTTGCGTATGGTCTGTAACCGTATCTGCCATACACCATGCGGTTGGCTTTCTGTAAGTGTTTGTTTAGAGGAAATGTTCGCTTGAGAGTAAAGTGCTCTAGGTTGCTCGAGGGTCACCCATCGTGAGCCTCCACGAGAGACTCAAGAACATGGAGTCGTGATAGGCGAAGAAGGCAATTCGCTAACATCGTGATCTCCTTATCGAGTCATCACAAATGGGAAGGATCCTTGTCATTCCAGTTCGAGTTTGTTTGTCGTATTGCTCGACCTGGATGGTCGCACATGGGTAAGGTAGCCATCTGTTGATAGACGTGTCGAGACCACCCAGCCGGTATTGACTCTGTTGAACAACTGGTTCGTCGTCGCTTGATATGTCGTCGCCCAACGTTGTTTGGCTTCATTGGAAACTCTACCAACTATATCAGTCTTCAAATCCTCGTAGAAACTACGCTGCTTCATGGCAGATCTCCATACCTTATTGCCCAGATCGTCGCCTCCAGGGAGTCGAAAACTTCTCTTCGTCTAGACTCCCCCCTGTTATTGATCATCACCTCGAACGTGAATCGAGCGTGTCTGCTGATCTGAATTCCCTCTACTAGAGATGGTGAAGGCACTCCCGATGCCAGGAGTGCACGTCGCCGTGGGCACGTTGGCTGCGGCGTAGGCCCAGAGTCCAGGCAATAAGCCTCGACTTTTGTGGCGAATATCTGTATGCCGCTCAGGCAACTCTGTTTCTTTTGACGATCGATAGGAAACCCGAGTGCTTTTTGTGTAGACGAAAGTGACTCGCACACAGCTACGTCGACCCTATAGCGAGTATGTACCTTGTCCACGCTCTCTGTAATCATCCGGCGATATACATCACCAGGTTGTATCAAGTCGTTTTACGATCCGAGGGTTGAGCCATTGTGCTCATATTGCCCCAATGGCGCAACCGCAATGTGTAGCCGGGACTATTGACCACATGAGCTTCCGCCCCTCTTCCTGATGTTGCATCTCGCCAAGTCAGGGATGAACCAAGCCCAGGACTTACAGGATAGGAGCCCGTGCGAGCGTCGCGCAACGGACGTCAGTTGGTAACGTTCGCGTTGATGTGGTATACATGAGCCGTGACTTCAGTGCTGCATGTTCCTCTGTCTGTGTGATTTCCATCCAACCGCTGTTGCTCTTGGGTAAACGGGCATTCATGAGCTCTCAGAGAGCGCGGCCGCGGCAATGTGTAGCCGGGACTGTAGACATATGAGCGCCTCGTTCGGTCTGATAGTACGAGTCATCAAGTGCAGGATGGAAAAGGACTTACGGGGTAGTAGCCAGCCGTCCTCTGGGAATTAACGTGATATAGTCCAGCTCAAGGGTCTATCGGTAAACATTGGCATCGATGTGATGAATGCCACAAACTCAGGGGTGATTGAGCGTTGATGTATGAAAGCTCGAAGCTGTCAGATGATATATGCGCCGCTGGTCTGTGTACTGACCAGCCATCTTTGGCCAGGTGGTCATGGGCAACTATCATATGCCTTCAGAGAGGTAGAGTCGTAAGAGTGTAAGTTGCAAGACACAGGACAATACTTTCAGATTCGCGAGGGAAGAAAGCCCATACTTAACCACATCAGACATCCCTCACCTCAACCTCAACTGTACCACCAAGAAGACCAGGAAAAGAACAAGGCAGCCAAAGAGTGAGAGAAAAACTTTTCACCTTCACCGCATCTTCAGAGTTTTCTTTTCAAATGCAGGTATCCCACCCTCCTTCGACGCAACGACCCGCGTGTTGCGCCATGCAAGAAGGAGTCAAAGCACTCGGCTGTCTGCGTGGCATGACGCGTGATGGAAGCGATTGGAAAGGGGAATGAAGAGATTTTCTTGAAATCTTCTTTGGTTGCTGTGCATTTTGTTGGGAAGTTGGGGGAATGTTGCGGCATCTGGCATGCTTGGCGTGGACATGGTGATATCATACACCTCTCCTTCTACTTGTTGTCGTTCTTGTCACTTGATGAAGCTGAACAACAGAGATACGCTCATGAACATAGTCTACAGATTCAATAGTCTTGGGAGAGCAATCAGCAGAAGGATATGAACAAGCTGTTGAAACTGTGGTTTCTCAGAACCAAAGCATGGGTTCGTAGTACATCCAGGGCCAGGAGCTCACAACTCGCCAAACACTAGATATCTTACATCTGTGGATAAATAATGGCATGACAAGCTCTCTATTCACACGACAAACTTGCCGCCACACCCACCACACACTTCCCCCTGCGCATCTCCCACCGCCTCCACACTCCCAAGATACTCCTCCGCAAGCCTTTCCACCTCGGAGACGGTGAGACAGCGCATCTTGCATACACCGCAAACACGGGAAATGCCCGGCGCCAAGATGGGAATGCCAGTCGTGGCACAGACAGCTGCTCCAGGCATTATTAGCAAGACAAAGTGACAAGAAACAAAAAGCTGAAAGGAGAGAAGAACGCTCCGTACCAAATGCGTGGCGGTTCTTGCAAGTAGCCACGTCGTCCTTGATCGACAGCTGCGCCTCACAAAACACACACGGCAGCTTCTTGGCCACATCCTTGAACAGTGCCCTCAGCGGATTGGCTTGTTGTTGGCGGGATGATCTCTTTTGCCCCGGAGACACGCCGGGGACGTCGCCCCCTAACCCATACATCCACTCCCATACCCTGCCTTCGGTGGTCAGAGGCTTGTAGATGGGCCTCACACGGTGTGCTTTGTTGTCGTCGGATGATGCCGAGACTTGCCAGTCAAAGTGGACGTTGGAGACGCCACGGCGATCCGGATGCTGCGTGTCGTGCTTTGTGGCGAGCACGGCTGTACATCCATCGCCGGGAGACTTGGCCAGGCCCCAGAGTCGAAACCGATAGGGGTGTACCTGTAAGCCGGATTCCGACGGTGCTGGGGGTGCCTCTCGCATCACCTTGTCTGCGCCCTCTTCATCATCAGACTCGAAATCAGAGTCTATGCCGTACAGAGCGGCCGCACGGGCCACGAGGCGGGCATTCTGGCCCCCTATGTCTTCCACCCACTGCGGGAGATTGTCTCCGGGCAGGTTTGTCTGGTACCAGTCGCGGTTCGTAGGGGTGGCAGAGAGCCTCACCAGTGAGTAGTAGGGAATTGGAGGCTTGTTGTGAGGATCAGGATCGTGGACAATGAGCCCTAAGGAACGAGAAGGGAAAAAAAAAGAGGGTGTCAGAATATCAGCCGTAAGCATACAAGATGAGCCAAACACACCTGTGATGGGATTAGTGGACATTTCGTCCTGGTTTGCGTAAGCTGAAGCGCATTCCCAGATAGAGTGCGGATGTGACGGCTCGCCCAAGGTGCCATTGAGCACAACCTGGAATGACTTGACGGACAATGGGCTTGTCACGATGCCTCGGGCTGTATGAGCCTCCCCTTCCGTCCAAACCTACTCTTCCCATTAGCGCGTATTCGATGTAGACACCTCCAACAACTGCCACTTACAGCGTCCTCCCACTCGAGCAGCGCGTCACTGGAGAGTGGCAGACATATCGCAGTGGTATCGCTTCGCTCAGCCACCACATCCGGCAACTCACCCCTCTCCCACTCGCCGTACAGTACGATCCGCCGGAAACCGACATGGTTCTTTGCGAGATATGCAAGCGTTGCCGTCCTATATCCGTCCTCGACGAGCCACGGGCTCCATTTCAGGGAGAAGATGCTGCCTTGAGGGCAAAAGTCTGGATCCTGAGGATCTGCAACCTAATAGGTAGATAGATGTAAGCATATATATACTATGAGATGAGGCGGTAGGGGGTTACATCTTACCTCCTCGTGGGGACCTCTTCCGTTGATTCGGACATGCTCCGTCAAAGTCCAAACCCATGCTTGCCCAGAGCTGCGCTTGGAAACGTCCGCGCGGCGATGATACTGGATGCTCATGACGACAATCTGTCCAGCATCGTTCAAGTAGGCTAGCAACGCTCTTCCAGGCGCAATCTCCTTGGCCCAAGAAAACGACACGATGCGCTCATCCATGGTTCGAAAGCCGTCCTTGGACGTGGGATCCGGAATCGGGAGCTTGGCTCCCAGCCCCCAAAGCACCCTCCAGTTCTTGAACGTGCGCGTTCTCATGCTCGAGGTGGCGGCTGACTGGCTATCGGCCTGCTCTCCAAAGGTGACGAGGCTGCCGGCCGTCGTCAAGGCCATCAGCACCGGCCGCAAGTTGCAGCCCAGTCCGCTTGGTGACCATTCCACTCGGATGACCTGACCCAGCGCCGCACCAGCCCCTGTGACTATGCCATTGCCGACGCCCCTAAAGCTGCCCTCGTCGCCGGTTCGAAGCCCTGGTAGCCTGACGCCCGCTTGGGCACACAGCTGGCCGTTGATCCTGGGACTCGGGTTGATGACCGCGGAGGGCTGGAGAGAGAGGGCAAACTGGTACTGCGAGGCATCCCGTTCATCTGCGTCGGCATCGGGGCCGTGGAAGTCGGGCAGGAAGATGTAGATGCATTCCTGCGTGGCGACGGCTAATTCGGCATCGCATGACCAGGCAATGGCATGTGGTGATGGAGGGCGCGAAGTGAGCGAAAGCGTTTGGAGGGGACGCGCCTAAGTGTTAAAGGGTTGAGGTCAGTAAGGATTCGTCGTTGATATATATGGTGAGCTTGTGTGAGTAAAACGGCCTGCTATTCACGATCTAGGCTACAAAATGGCAAGTCTGCCAGTGGCAGCAGGAACAGCTTCGATTGCTACATCTGATTAAATAGCCATCAAGTCTATCCTACCTATGATGTAGAAAGAAGGAGGGAGAAGCAGAAATTTGAAAGCATCGTGATCAGGCGTCTGTACAGTTGATGTCAAAGCTTGCGCGCTCAACTCACCCTAAATCGGTCCATGCTATGGAAGGCTCAGTGTAGCCGAATTCATCAGAACGCGCAGACAGACGGTTCCTTTCATTACCCAGTATGATTCAAAAGACGGCTATGACGAATGGAACCAAATCTTCGGCCTGGAGAGTCGTGATGATGAGGAGAGTTTCAGTAAGTTCCAGCTTATTGTGAAGTTGCGCGAGACTGAAGGCAAGACATTTGGATATGTTGCTGACTAAGCCAGTTCTGTCATGCACTCCAAGAGCTGGAATGCCAAGATACACCGATGTATGCGTATGGTTGAACGCTTATGTGTGTGCGTGTTTGGTTGACGACCGCATTAGTATGGCAGAGCGCGCCATTGTGTGCGTATGGTTAAACATTTCGTGTGTGCGTGTTTGATTGCCCATTACACGCTGATGCTCTTCTTTCAAGGCATCTTTTCTAATAGCATCCCTAAATTGTTCAATCATCGCATTGGGGATGACGAGTGCCCAATGTCTACTCTGCCATAGGTTCTTACGAACTGGTGGTCCTTCTCTTATGCTATATGAACCGAAGGGTAAGAGACCAAACCATTGTCTAATCTCGAATTGCATGCTTGATAAAACAGAGACAGAAATGATATATAAAAGCAACAGATATCACAGCATCATGACTCCAGCAACGAGCCAACTCCCCACAACAGCGCGCATCCTGCAAGCGCCGTGGCCCCAATGGCCTTCTTCGACCACGAGCCCTCTTCGGTGAGGGCTTTGGCGCCCTGGACCTTCCTCGGCGGCGCAGTGGGAACGCTGGCGGGCATGGATGTCTCGTTGTGGCGAGCCGCATCCTCCTCCGCTTCCCTCTTCCGCAGCATGGCAATAGTCTTGCTCAGCTCGACAAGCTCCTCCTCCAAGGCCAAGTCCTTGGCTCGGTCGACCTCGACGTTTTGGATGTTGCCGAAGAAATCGGTAATGAGCCGGCTGCGCGCGGCCTCTTCTCCTCCGGGGAAGAGATCGTAGCGGACGCCAGCGGTGGAGTGGATCTTTTCGAAATCGTAGCTGTCAAACAGCTCGCCCAGAGTCTTCTTGCTGCCGACGTCCTGGACATGGGCTTCGAGGAACTCTAGGTTGTAATAGGTGTATCGGTCGATGACTGCGACGCCGACGTCGTTGTCGGCATGGTGAGAGTATGATGACTGATCGAGCTCGGAGGATCCTGTGGCGATAATGTTGGGCGAGTACAGCCTGCTGTACATGGTGTTTGCTTGGCAGGTATCGATCATAAACAGGATCTCGTGGTATCTGCACATGCAAAATCAGTCTCCGTAGGTCTTTGACCAGGGTTCATGTAGGACAAAGACGTACCTCTTCTTCTCCCACATCTGCTCAAAGGCATCGGCAAGGTCGAATGCGCCAATCTCCTCGGCGTCCTGGAACTTGAGGAACTCGTTTCCGCCGTGCCCCGTCATGTAGACAAAGATGTTGCTCCGATCGTCGGTCAGCAGCCGCTTGCTTCGGGGCGTCTCGTCGCCAACGCGATCCGTCAAGAGGCGGATGAAGTTTTCGACAGTGACTTCGTAGCCGCGATAATCGACCTCGATGTTGTCGCCGTACAGATCCACCGCACGATCCGAGTTGCTGTAGACGGTACCGGGGAAGGCGTTTCGCGGGTTGCAAGCCATGTCGTCGGGGAGCATGAGGATGATTTGCGAGTCGGGGATGCCCAGACGCTTGACCGTCCGGTACATGGACAGGACATTGGCGAGGTGGCGGTAGTTGAACCAGAAGCGCGACGTGCAGACCAGGACGGCCCAGTTGCTCGTGTGCTCGGCGACGGAAGCCGAGGCGAGCAGCAGTGACGCCACGACGGCGCGGAAGCTGAGGCTGGAGAGCTTCATCACGGGCCGAGTTGGGGCTTGCTTGATCGGATGGCAGCTGGACGCTCTGCGCTACTGTACTGGTGCACTACCTGAGTAGTGGTAGAGGTGGGAATGCGGCTGTCGAGTGCTGAGGCTGCGATGCCATAGCAATGCCGCGTAGGACTCGTAGGGATGGGAGTGTTTGATACCTGAGGTCGGTAGAGTCGCATCGTATCAAGTCTCCCTCCAGTTCGGCGATCTCGAAAAGCTGACAAATCTGGTCCTCCTTTTGCACTAACAGTTTCGAGAAGGAGGAAAAAGTACAGAGTACGGTCCAAAACGCCCTAGCTCGGTGGCGCCGTTGGCGTCTGATGCTGTACTCTGTACTTGGCCTATTCTCTCAGAACTGTCACGGCTCGAGTGGAGCAGCAGCTGCAGTCAAGGTGGAAGTACCCGTAATAGCAAGAAAGCCGCCGCTACGTGTATTAGAACATGTGACAGAGGCAACAGAATGTCGAATTGGCGGAAGATGTGGTAATTGGAGAGTGCGAATGCGGTGATTCTTTGATTAACGTACATAGAGGTAATGGAAGATACCTTGTCACTTGGCACCTTAACTAACAGTAACACGTTCATATTGAGTCTGGAAAAAGTGGTCGTTAATCAAGGTTACAGCGCCAGCAAATGCGAATACGGCGTGCCGCAAAATGAAACATTCCTTGGCTGCGGATCTCGGGCCCTCATTCGCGGCTAGTAATACCAACAAACAACCAGAATGGGGATGCAGAGGAACAGGTCAATTCATATCACAAGAGACCAAGACACGGCATCGGCAACGCAGGAGGAAATGACATGTCACCAACACGGCTGCTTTGTTTCTCGCCCCCCCGCGTCGCAATCTGGCACAATCTTGGACACAGATAGTAATATTGTAATACTAGACCCTAGACGATGCTTTATTAGGATGGAAGCCCATAATCACAAGCCAAAAACAAGGGGATGGAGGAAAAAAGGCCGACATGCAGTGACCACCAACCAGGGTTTCATGCGCCCCACGTGCCCCAATGACGAAACAGCCTGAAGAGAAATGGAAAAGAAAGAAAAAAAAGTTGCAACGAGGAGATGCTGAGGGGAATGAATGACGGGAAAGACTTTGAGGGCTGAGAAGAGAAAAGAAGGGCTGAATCAGCAGACCGAGGCTGGACAGAAAAGAGGCACAAAAAAAGGCACCAAGGTTCAAGGAGGAGCACGAAGCTGATGCCACATGGGCTGGGGGAGGTACTCGCCAAGTATCGTCTTGGCCGACCAAGACAGCCTCGTTTTGATTAGAAGGTACCTGGACGCGGCGCCGAGCATTGATCGGCTGCAGATACCGCTGGTCTGCCTTGTTTGCTCTCTGCTCCCCGTACCGGCCCCCGTACAGGTATAAGGAGCCACGGTGGCTGTCAAGCGATCTGATGACTTGATTCCCACTGCCGGCCGCCATAAGTACCTGCGGGATACAAGCTCGTGCCATCGACAACGCCATCGTTCCCCAGCTTTACCTGTCCACCGGTATCCTCTGCCCAACACACCAGAACCCTCGTCCCTCGTCCTTATAAACCACGGCGGTGGTGGCGAGAGCCCAGCAATCCATCCAGCCGTCAAATCTCCAGTCGCTCTCACTCTGCATCCGGCACTGCGTGATGTCGACAGCGTGGTAATTGACTACCTGCGACCTGCAAACCCCGAAACCTGACATCAACCATCAACCACCGTCTGTCTGTCTCTCTCTCGGCGCATCGAACCACTCGTCTGTCGATCCGAGGCGGCAACGACTCGCATTCGCACCACCAGCTCTGCAGTGCTTCGCTCCTCTTTGTGTTGCGGGCAGCTGATCACAACCCCGCTGCATTTCCTGATTCTCCTTCTTTTTTTTTTCTCCGGGCTGTTTGGGGTGTCCTGGTCGGCCCCCTCATATGCGGAGAACAAGGGGGGTTTGGCAAGTCTATGTGGTGAAGCAGCCAGGCAGACGCGACAAGCAGCTGATCGGGCCTTGAACCTCTATATATCTCGCGCCTGGGAGCCATTGCTGAACCTGCTCGAGACTGACTGCTTCCGATCAAGCCAGCTCTGCCTGGATTCTGTTGATCTATCCGTCACCGACACCGACTATCATCACCATTCTCCAACAACTCAGCCAACGTCGGATTTCAACAACCATGGGTCGACGGTTACCATCGCATATCTTCGTCGTAAGGTAGGAAGAGGCACCCTGCCAAAGACAAAGTGCCCAGCATCGCTACCAATTGTCCATCGCTAACTGGCGTGGCCTCTCAGACACGGCAACCGACTCGACACCGCCAACAAGCAATGGCACCTGACCTCACCGACACCCTACGATCCTCCCCTCACGTACGGCGGTTTCCTGCAGGCGCGGCTGGTCGGCAACCAGATTGCGAGCATCCTGGAGCAGGCAAAGATTGATGCCGAAGTCACAAACAATGGCGCCACATTGACAGGGAAGCGCCGCCGCTTCAAGGTCGTCATTCACAGCTCGCCCTTCTTGCGGTGCATCCAGACGTCCGTGGGCATCAGCTCCGGCCTTGCGCAGATGCCGGCCGATTCTATATACCAGCCTTCCGATGTCCTCGTTCCGCGAAAAGCCCCGATTGGCCAGCAAAGCCCGCACAGGTTCGCCCTGCTGCGTCTCGACTCGTTTCTGGGAGAATGGCTGTCGCCAGAGTACTTTGAGATGATCACGCCGCCCCCGGGGCCTGAACTCATGATGGGCAGCGCAAAGGCCGAGCTTCTACGGCGGGAAGACTACAGTATCTACACAGACGTTTCGACGCCTAGCAACAATCAACCAGCGACATCCAAAGCTGCTCTGTGGAGCTCCCCCGTGTCGTCGCCCTCGCAGCCAAACGCTTCATCTGGGCCAGATCAGGGCAACGCCTTCAGCTCCTCGGCCATGGCTGCTGCGCTGTCCTCTGCGTCACAGGAGCAGAAGAAAGGCTACGTGCCTCCGCGGCCGTTGCACGCCGTATCGAGCAATGGCAAGATTCCAGACGGCTTCGTCGCCCATGCCAGGGACTCGTGTGTCCTGATCGACTTTCAGTGGGATTCGATGCGGCCACCGCTGGCCTTTGGCGATGGGGGAAAGCTGCCTGAGGAGTGGACGGCGATGCACCAGCGCTTTCGCACCGGCCTGAAGCGCATGGTCAACTGGTATGCGACGGCAGACTTTCCCGACGAGATGATCGGCGCACCGGTCAACGACAACGACGTGAGCTGCAGCGACAGCGGCTACGGCGAGGAGGAGGAGGAGGAGATTGAGACGGTCATCATCATCGTGTCCCACGGCGCGGGCTGCAACGCCCTGATCGGCGCCATTACGCACCAGCCCGTTCTCATGGATGTCGGCATCGCCTCCATCACGGCCGCCGTCAGGCGATCGGATGCCAACTACGCCAAGGCTCTTGCTGCTGCCTCGGAACGCAAGGGCAGCGCCTCTGAGCCTCCCCAGGCCAGTGTTGACGAACTGTACGAAATTCGCCTCTCCGCAAGCACAGAACATTTGCGCTCCAACTCGGGAGCGTCCATCACGGCGAGGCCGGCGTCGCCCAGAAATACTTGGAGTCCTTCTGCCCGTCGTGGCCGTACCTCGGCGCTGGCCTCCCCTACTGCGGCTGTCTCCTCCTTTAGCCCCTTTGTATTTCCCGAGCCGGCCTCGTCTGGCAACCGCAGCAATTCGGCAAACGCGTCAGTAGGAGCCTTTACGCGACGAGATTCTGGATCCACACGGCGATCTCCCAGAGCGCCGCCGCCCGTGAGCGCGGGCTACGAAAATGAGGGCAGCAGCTTCGCAGGAGGACGGAAGAGCGCTCCGTCTCCAGGACTGTGGGCGCCCTCACGCCCTTCTGTCCGTTTGATTGATGTCGACGAGGAGGCAGTCGACGACTTCGAGAACATGTTTCCCGACTTTGACAACAAGCGGTTCAAACCGATACCCGACGAGAACCCCAAGCCGGCGCCCGACAAGCCCTCGTCGGAGCCGTTTCCAGAGCTCGCCCCGGCTGCCAAGATCACAGCGTCACCCCAGAGACCAATCTTTGCAGCGCCTATCAAGCTGAACACGGACCTGTCATTTGGGGAGCCTGAGGAAGAGATGCCTCTGTCGCAGCTCGGCGGGCTGTGGAATCTGGCCATGCCGCCGAGCGAAGCGGATAGGCTTAGGGATTTGAGTCAGACGAAGAGGAGGTGGACCGTCAACGACAGGAGCTGAATGGGTACACCACCATCTCCTTCTCACTCTCTCCCCCTTCTCTGTGTGTTTAGTGAGAGGGGCTTTTTCCTTCTTCTCAGCGATCGGTTTTTGAATTGGAAGGGCTTGATTTGTGATTCTTGATGGCGGCGCAAGACAAAGAAAAAAAAAGGAAGAGGAACTGGTAATCACAACGCAATCGACAGCGAACGCACACCCTGTAAGACGTTTGGAATTTCACATGAATTCGATTTAGGACCAAAGTAGAGCAAGCGAAACAGGGGCGAATTCAGGGTGCATGGAGTTTTATCAAAGGGCTTTTTGTTTGTTACTTTGCAGAGAAAGCGATCCTTCGCAGGCATCAATCTAGGCGAATCATTACAGACCGCGTATGTGATTCCGGAGTGTTATCGAAGGGTGCCTAGATACCTCCGAAAAGTTAGCAGACATATACCTACCTTATCTTTGTCTATTATGATGGACAATTTGCGGTAACTGTATTATTATTTGATTTGTCTCTTGGGATTTTACATTACATGTGCTACACAGAATGGCAATCACGTCTTGCGCACTCTCCGTTTCAATTCTCAGCTCACTGCTTCCTTACTCATCTGATCAAGGCGCAATGCGGCTATTCAGCAGACTGACACTGGAATGATGCCTTGTTTGATATATAGCCATTGCTTCACCACTGATGCAAAAGAAAGAAATGCATCTAGTCTACAGGCCAATATAATGAGAAAAAATAAATACATGGCCGTCTAATGTCCCATTCCAGACTCCTCATGATAACATGAATAATCCAGCCCCCTGTCCCCCCTATATACTTTTTTCTCCGAATCCCTTCCCCCCCCCTTTCCCACTAAACACACATTCATCGTAACGAAACGCAGCATTGCCAATGATATCACAAAAAAAAAAGCAAAACGAGGGAAAAAAAAAATTCATGTGAAGATGCAAAATCATTTCGGCCCAAACATCTTGTTCATAGCCTGATGCGCCAGCTCAACCCCCAAAAACGTCGCCGCATTCGCCGGCACAGCACGCGTCAGCGCCGGTCCAAAGCCAGGGAAGAAAGCCTTGTACCCTCCCTTGCCATAGAGCTCGCGGATGACGCCCCCGATGCTGACATGTCCCTCAGCCGTCTGCAGGCGGGACTTGACCGTGTCGACGGGGAACACGGGGATCCACATGGCCACGCCGGCGCCGGCACCAGCGCACGTCACCGCCGTGAGGCTCAGCTGCCCCGTGGGCTTGCCGGTGACGGGATCCTTGGGGCTGAGGGCCTTCTTGATGACCTCGTAGGCGGCAAAGTAGGCCGCGCTGCCGGGCCCGTCGCGGGCGAGCGTGGCGACGCTGCCGCGGAAGACGGAGCGCAGACCCCCCTCGCGGTAGAGCTGGCGCACGACGTCGAGGCCGCCGCTGTACTTGGGCTTCTCGCCCGGCGCGAGCTGCTTCTGGCCCTGGACTTGGAGAATCACCTTGACGCGCTCAAAGGGCGCGGTGATGGCCGTCATGGGGATGGCGGAGAGGAAGCCCGCGGCGGCGAGCTGGCCGGTCGATAGGCCGTCGGGGCCAATGGGCGAGACGGCGCCGACAATTTGTTTGCCGAGGTCGTAGCCCCAGAAGGAGACGGCGACTATACATATATATAAGAGCAAGATTCTGTGATTAGCCGTGTGAAACTTGATCGTCGAGGAGGAGGAGGAGAAAAGACATACACATGGGCGGACCCCCACCAGGGACCAGCCAT